CACACACACACACACACACACACACACACACACACACACGACCACCGTTGATCCCCGCAAAGCAACGCTCCGATAACGTAGTTTGGTGCCCCGTCCTGCGCGCGACGAGCAAAAACAAAAAACCCGCAGGCCCACTCACCGCACCGCACTGCACTTAGGCCCGCATCCGCCCACCACCAAACGTCGTCACGCACAGCGCCCCAGTCCCGCCTTACGGACCGACGGGTCGGATTTCGCTATGCCGACACCGACACGCCACCGATTCCCCCTCGCCCCACTGCCTCGGAGCGGGACTGCGCGACGGCGCCCGGTTTCTGTTGGGCCCCTCACGCGAGACCCGCTTCTTCCTTTAGAGTATTAGAGAAGAAGTTCAGGTAGTACTCATAGGAGGACAGCCATTGTAACCAGGCTAGTAGTAGAGTTCTAGCATTAGTAACGTAATCAACGAACCTGGTCGAGAACCAGTGTGTCGTACAGTCGGCTTTTTTCATAGTACCCATTGCAGTATGCCGCATGTAACCCGTCCAAATCCGCAGAAGAGCTCACGGAAACGTACCCGGAGACGCCAAAATAGGTTCTGATCGTAGCACGAGGTAAGCAGGTGTGGGGAAGATTGGAAGATCGACGAGTATGTTAGAGGTGAGGGGAAGTAGTGAATCAGGAAAGCGGGGAAGCGAAGGAAGATGAGGGGCGGGAAAAAAATCCATGCTATCCAGGTTGAGTGAAGATGAAGAAGCGTCAATAAGAGAAGGGAGTAGTGCGGGATAGGTCAGGGAGGATGGAAGAAGGGACGTAGAGAGATGATGACAAAAAGACAAATGGGAGAGAGATCAACGTGGAAGTAGTGTGGTGGGTCGTGGCAGAAGGTTGAGACTGTTGCGATGCCTGACTTCATATGTTGTCCTTGTTGTTCAGAGAGGATCCGGAAATCGCAGTTATCGAATCTGAACGTGTCGGCACGCAGGTAGGTGAATGACGCCGGACAGGATCAGACGCGAAGGGGGAAAAAAAAAGGAGAGGTTGACGCGGGGGTAACCGAGTGGGGAAGGGAAATAAGCCTAAGTGTGGTAGTAGTGGAAGCGTACAAGATTCTATAACCAATACGATGGGAAAAAAAGTACAGCCTATAAAGTTAGCGACCGAAAAGATTTGTTGTAAGTCGGTTGGTACCTGCCATAGAACCGTGACGTAGCCCATTCCCAAGTCCCGATTTGAATATCTCAACCCAGAGGTCCCAACAACCACCCTCAGAGGTCGAGAACTCATAAAGAGTTTTGTCCAAAAAACGTCTCGGGAAGCCTTTTAGCCGCATTTCTCGTCTCAAAGCAAGGAGCGTCATACCGACTCCTCTATGGTATGAGGAGTCGGTGTGAATTTTGTTTAACTGACCTTTAATCAGTCCCTTCTTAAGGTTTGCAGGTCCATATGATCTGAAGTCTTGCGTGGACAAGATTCTGATAGGCTCACTACTCAAAATATACTCCTGTTTTTTTGTGATCGCAGAGCTGTGGACTAAAGGTGGCGAAGAAGAGCAGGAGATGGAACAACCCATAAATTCACAGTCTCCTTTTCCTGAGTCTGTTCGAACTAAGGTGAGGTTATCATCGTATGACGATTCAAATTTCTTGAGGATCATTGTCGCCTTCTCCCTTGCGGCTTGATCATTTTTTCTGGATAGAATGAACAAACTAACATCATCAACTAATCTGATACCAGTAATCGAGCGTCTATCGGTGCCGACTGAGCCCAGGAAGTTGATCTCATTGAAGGAGCATAGCAAACAGGCAAGTGCAGGACTATAACACTTCCACATTGGTATACCAATAACTTGGTGAATTATGAAAGTGGAAGCACGGAATAAGTGTGGTCTAGGTCAAATTGAACAAAATCTAATATTTGCTCGAACTTAATGGTTACCCATCCCTTCTCTCCTGACCCGCTGCAGAAGGTGGCGCCTTTCCCTTGTCTTTTCACCCGGACTGATTTCATCCAAGACTCAGAGAAAAAATAGCAGATCCGGTCCATTGCTCTGAAGATTGATGCATGTGGTAATTTAGTAAACATTTTTTTTATATCGTAGCTAGTCGAGGTCATTATGCCAGATGGAGTGCGTGTAGCCTTTTTGTTCAAGGAATCGATTCCAGGTTTCAACATGTTGGTCGCTCTCAGATTAAAGTTAGAAGATTTGGGGAGATTCCATAGTAGAAAATTGACAGCACGCCTGATCATTTTGCATGCGTGCACACTGGGCTCAGAAAAGAAGGGGGAGATGGGACGCCATCGGGAGATGTCTTTGTGCTTGGGCAGTCCGTAGCAGCATCCTAATTTTCCTTTTGGGTCCCATCGGGCTATTCTGTGGCCCTGAAGAGTTGTTCTAGTACAATGTCCCAGAGCTTGATGGTAGATGCTCATACAACATTTCAGTGAGTCACCCGCATTGTGGTTTATCGGTGTGACCACTAAATCACTGAACTTTTTAACCCACTTATCTAGATAACATGCGATATCGTCAAGCCGCCCTATCGTGCTACATAGGCAATACCTCAAGGACTGGTGAATGACTACAGCGTGACCGGACAGTCTGTTGAGCCCGTGTTTTAGCGCTTTTCTAATGCATGCCATTGACGTAGAGGTGGAAGGTGAGAGAATGTTTTTTGAATTTCGCAGGATTTCAGGCATACCCACAATAGATGAGACTTGCATGACAACATGAACGTCCCTATTCCAAGTTAGATAACTAGGGGATTCCGAGCAGGAGCAATATTTGGAAGAGTACACAGCAGAAGCCCTGTGGTTATGAATAAGCTATCCTATGTTTCGGTTTCTTGACCAGACGAAACGGAGCCGTGAAATGATGAAGTATGCGAGGTACTGTTGGTCACGTGTACTTCTAATAATTTGTTTGGCAATATTAATGACACTGTGTTTTAGTATTGATGAGTTGAACCGCAGCTTCACAACCATCGGAGTACTGGAGTCGAAACCTCCTTTCTTACGAATAACAAATCCTACGATACTGCGCAAAACGGATTGCATGCGATTCTGCAAACAGTCAATGACGTTTAAGAGACGAATGAGAGTTTGGCCATCGAAACAATGCAGGGTCGGTCGGGTGGCTGGTACCTGCAGAAGAGATAACAACACGAGTTTGCTAGCGGACTGTCTATTTTTGCACATGCGGATCTGAAAAAAGATAAAAGTCCCTCCTTTGCACAGATGAGGCCGAAGATCCTTCAACAAAACCTTGGATTCCTTTGTTTCGACAATACTCATACCAAATAATTTCTTAATTTTACCCCACCCTTCCACAAAATAGCCACCACCACAAGAAACAATTGTGGCGCACCTGGTGTTCTGGCTACAACATTGCCTTAGGGATTCTAGCAAAGAATACGAAAGAACAACGTTCGGTGTGATGTGCGAGGATTCGACTGACACACGCCATGCAACAGGTTTGTCATCACGAGTCTCGAAGCCTAGGATATCAGTCATCCGTGTGTCACGGTGTGTGGTAGGATTTTCATTCCCTACACTCTTTTCTGCTTCTAGCCTTTTTCCTCTTGTTCTTGCCAATGACTGTGTTTAGGCAAGGAGACCACCTATGGATAAGAGAAGTTTCTACTGCGTGCAAGTCAGTCTCGGAGGGTTAGACGATAGGAATAGCTATGTACGTCTCCCACCCTCTGCGTTCAACCCATCTTTTTAGTTTGTGATCCCTACCCTTCGTATCGGTCATAGCTAGTCGTACATGCTCTCTCCTTCGCTCGTCAGCGCCTCGAGTGGTGGATCCGATATAAGTAGCTTTAGACCAAGGCGAGATAAGAACCTACACAGAACGAGTGTCACCCGAGCATATGTTGTGACCATTACGGACCGAATCTATCCAACTATCAAGGAACTGGCGCCCCCAACTGATCGCACCGACGACAACCAAGAGAAATACTGGAAACCGCATCATAGCTTTGGATCGCAAGAGCCCACCACCCTTTGTTCCCAACTTCCTTCTCTTCATCATGGCGTCCTGGGCTTGGTTCCAAAGCCAGCTCGTGTCCCAGAAGGACGTCAGGAGGAATTCTCCTCTTGCTCCTTGAACACTGTGGAGTTTAGCAAGTCCTCATCGTCTTCTTCTTTGGCTTCGCCGTAAGCATCACGTGTACGAAGCTTAGCAAGCTCATTCGCTGCCTGCTTCTTGTTGACATACTGGATGTTTTCCTTGCGGCAGACAATCTCCAAGTCTGCCTTGTATTCTTTCGTTAGCTCCTTCTTCATGTCCTCCAGGTACTGCTTTCTTGCCCCTGTCCCGGTGGAAGCCGCGTTCGCCTCCTTGCCTTCGCGTACATGATTGAACCTGAAGTCCGCTGATCTTGCTGCCGAGAAGGATCCCGACATTCGCCTGGCATGCCCTGCGACTAAGGCGAACACGTCTGCGAGTCTTCCAGTTGGCCTGCTGGAGGATGGTGTGCTGCTCGTTACCCTTTCTGGATTCAATGTTCGGTTGCAGGTAGTTGGAGCTGCAGTTGTGCTCGTACCAGCCCGAGTGAGAGGTCTAGTCGAGGGAGGGGCTGGGGGTTGATGATTAGGAGCCGGGGGGGAGGGGGGGCGATCACGAGAAAGGGGGGGGGGGGGGGGGGGGGGGGGGGGGGGGGGGTCTGCTGGTGCAGGACGGGAGACCGGGCGATGGCTAGGACCAGCGTCAGAGGTGCGACGAGTAGAGGGGGCAGGATGTTTGTGAGGAAGGGGTTGCCCATTTCCAGGTGTCATGTAGATCGACCGAGCATGAGGGGGAGGAGGAGGGGGAGGAGGCGGGGGAGTGGGAGGGGAAGGGGGAGGAGAAGGGGAAAGAGGCAAGGTGTGGTTGGATGGATTAGCCACAGCGTGAGAGTGTGGGAAGGATGGGTAGGGTGAAGGGTATTGGGAGGACAGGTTCGAGGGAACCGGAAGGTTCGTATCAAGGGGACGCTGAGGTGGAGGGAGCGATCCGAGACGTTCGATAGTTGCAACCATGCGCAGGAGCCTGGATTCCTGATTCTTTTGGAATGACTCTTGGTCGCGCTTCAGCATGTTGAAGTTCATCAGCAAGAGTCCAGGGTCAAGAGGGCTGATCGTTGGCTCCATCTGAGTCTTTTGACGCATAGCATCCGGTTGCACAGGGGAACCGCCTTGTAACACTTATTGCCCGCATTTTTTAACGTCACCATCGCTGATTTTGATACCTCCATCCTTCGCCCTTGGTCTAACATCGACGCACCTGTCGTCCTCCTTTTCTTTGCCTTTCGCAGGATCACGCTTGAGGTCGACATCATCGCTTTTCTTCTAATTCATAGCTGCAAACTGTTCTGCGAACAGTTTAGCTATGTGAGCTTCTCTAGCCATCTCTTTCTTCTCCTCATCCTCACGCCTCTGTTCCTCTTCTTCCTTGAGTTTGGCAAGTTGTTCTCTCAGCTTTAGTTGGGTCTACGACACGACCTGGTGCTGGATCTAGGTCTGGACCTGAGCATTGACCTGGCCCAACCACCCAATCACGCAACCACGCAACAACGCAACCAACCAGCGACGCCGACCACCTAACCACCCAAGCACCCAACGAACCACCTAACCGAACCACCTAACCAACCAGCAGTTGGTCTGCGGGTCTGTACCCGTTGACCTGGCTCTGGGACTGGGTTGTTGATTGGGTCTGTGCCTGTGCCCCTTTGAGTGGGGTATGGGCCCAGACCTGTTTTTTTTTTTTTTTTTAGCACGGACCTGTTTTTTTTTTTTTTTAGAGCACGGACCTGGGCCCGGGTTGTTGATTGGGTCTGGGCCTGTGCCCCTTTGAGTGGGGTATGGGCCCAGACCTGTACTTATATGTCTATATAGGTTGGACTCACATTGACCTCAGTGAGAAACAGGCCCTTAAAGACCCAGGCCCAGACTGTTGACTTGGACCTGGCGCATGCTTGACAGTGCAATTGTGAAAGGACCTGTGTTTTTTTTTTTTAACAGCAAGCCTGAGTCCAAGGAGCATCCCAAGGTTCAGACGGACAGACTGGCACATGTGGCCCAGGCAGACGGCCAGCCAGCCAGCCAGCCGTGCAGGCGGGCAGGCAGACAGGCAGTCAGAGAGGCAAACAGAAAGGCGTTGACCTGGCCTTGGCCCACAGACGCCCCGGCAGGCAGGCATGCAGATGGTCGGCGCAAATGGTCAAGCGTCTGCTCCATGTCGACAATTATCAGCGGATGTTGACCTGGCGCTGACCCACGGACGCCCCATGCAGACAGTCATCTAATTTGCAGTTGRCATAATCTTTGTTCTTYRTGGTGGTCKGYGYAGATGGTCAARCGTCCGCTCAAGATAACGCTGTAGTCGAGACACATGGTCGGAGAGCGAGTGCGGGATCATCACGCTCCGATGTGCCGATGCATATCGATGAAGCAGATGATCTAGATGTTTCGTACGATCATTACATCTATGATGATGATACCAGAATGCATAAGTACGTTCAAGATTGTGAACAGTATGCGTATACCATGGTGAGGGAGATGCATGATAAGGAACAACGTCGCCATCAATCGAATGCTGTGGTGCGGTATGGTGTGGTGGGTAAGGTTCCAAATGATCATGCCTTGAGGGAAGTATTTGGTAGGTTCGTTACGGACAACCAAGGACTTCGTTGGACACCGGATGAGTTGTTGGATATGTTGAAGAAGAAGGAGGTGGAAGTGG